AAAGATAAAAAGAAGGAATGATGTGGTAACCACAAAAGACGAGTGTTCACGGCAGGGTGGAGCGATGTTTTAAAAAGAAAAGAGAGTAAAGAAGGAAGGATGAGGTCAACCAAGACCCCCACCCAGCACAGGAGGAGGCAGGAGCAAGTTCAGGATGAGGCCAAGGATAAAGCCAGAGGGTACGCAGCCAGGGGTGTGGGGTGGGAGCTGGGAGGACGTCTATGGGGCTTGGGATGCTGAAAACCACCCGTAGGAGGGAGGGAGGAAAGAAAGAAAGGAAAGAAAGGAAGGAAAGGAAGCAATGAAAGGAAAGAAAGAAAGAAAATGAAAGTAAACATGAGGAAATGATAGTAATACAAAGATCACAGTACAGAATGAAAATGAAAAGAGAAAGAAAGGAGAAAAAAAATACAAGAATGACCACAATCAGTCCTACATCATTCCTGTCCCAGCCTGAGGTCTCTGCCATTTGGTGGTCTCCTCAGCCCTCTTCCCCAGCTACTAAATAAAATCATTTTTCATTACCCAGCTTGGATTCCCTTCTCTGGACTAACAGAAATGGCCTGAAGTGGCATTACTTAGAATCCCAACCAACCTAGAGACAGACACGTTCCTCCGAAGCCAAAATCAGAAGCAAGCAGGTAAACAAGGCTGCCTGGAGTCCAATCAGCAGGCTTCAAATGAACCCACTGGTTGTAGGTTTTATTCTTCCAAAAACACAAAGAGAAGAGATCATTGAGGGCTGGGGTGAAACACAAAAGAACACAGAGACGTAGGGACAACAGGCTGGGGCTCTTCAGACAGACCTGAGCAGAAGGAAATCCGGGCCCAATATACCAAGTAGATGATCCACCACGGGGACCACACATCCCCATAAGGAGCCTGGGGGGAAACACACACTCGAGGCAGGAAAAGATAACGCAGGCACAAAACACACGGGATGCAACAGCAGGAATGAAGAAGGCTAACGTAGGCAGGGCGCCCAGGGCTGGTGACCACAGTCCTGGTGGGGCGATGGGGACGGGGGGAGGGGCCACAGTCGAGAGGGGAGTCATGCAGGAAGGAGGTGGCCTACTGGAGAGCCCTCTAGTGACTGGAGGACAGGACGGGGATTCCAGGGCTTGGGGGGACCCATGCTCTCAAAGCAATTGTCCCGAGTCCCAGCCGTGCCGCCGGGAAGATGACCATGGGCCTGCTGTGCCTGGTACTTGAAGTAACCCTTTCTACCTGCAGGCTTATGGGACAGTGAGAGGTGCTGGTTCCGGAAAAGAGCCTAACAGCCAAGCCTCCGTTAAAAAAAGTCCTGAGCAACTAGCAGAGTCCCTCTGACTCACCCTTTCAGATAAACTCAGCCCCCCAGCTCAGCTTCTCCGCCCTGATGGCACGTAACAGTCACCTGGGGAATTTTCTTTTTTGAACAGTGACCCAGAGACCACTCCAGTTCAGTTTTATCAGAATCTCTGAGAGTGAGCCCGGACATCTGTACTGGTTTAAAAGCTCCCCCAGGCAATTCCCATGTGCACCAGGGCTGAGAGTTCCAGGTCTAGACCCAGGGGAGGCCCCGGCCTTAGGGTGCATCCACTGTGGGGTAATAAGCCACAACTGTCTAGACAGAAGGCAGAGAGGGAGCAGTCACCCCAGCTGGTGAGGAAGGGTCTAGTGGCCCCTGAGAGACGTGCGGTGGATCTGTTACCCGAGCAGCCTTCTTCCCCTGAGACAGGAACAGGGCAGCCACCTGGGTGCTAGACCCTCAACAGACAATCAATCACAGCATCCTCAGAAGTCCCCACCTCCAAACTCCTCTGGGGAAAGGAACACATGTCTGAGCTGCTTCCTGACAGGGAAAAGTGATGCTGCAGGAACCTAGCTTTCTCCAGGTCCCTGCAGGCACAGAATGCACAAAGAGTGGGTTTGGAACTTGTTGGATTTTGTTAAGGAGATGAATATAAAAGACGCAGTGGTGTCTCTTACATAATATTTGCTTATATATCCTTAATCAAAACTACCTATAATCCCTTAAGGGCCGGAACCATATTCTTCTGTCTCAGTATCTACAGCAGCACATAGCAGGTCCCCCTTTCTGCATCTGCAGGGTGGATGTAATCCTTAAATGCTCGAGTAATTACTGGCTGATTTGTGAGCACCCACCCCTCAACAGAGTTTAAAGGGGCATCAACCGCTTACCAGAGGGGACGGGAAGAGGAAAGAGACTCCCAACATGTCAGCCAAAATGCCTGTGGAGTAGCCCACACTGTAAAACAACTCTGAAATGTCATGAAAAAAATCAAAAGAAATTGATGATCTGGTTGATTCACACTGAATTTTATAGAACTATCACATTTTCTTCACAAGTGTGCTCGATACCTACGAACATGCTCAAAAATGTTTTAAAAACTTATCTGCATCTTCTTTTAAATGTGTTGCCAATTCAAAAGCCACAGTCACCCCTCCTTCAACACTGCTGGACGCCTGGGTGTCAGAGCAGCTCCCACAGTCGAAAGCAGCTATTATTAGCAAGGGTGTGATGCAATTTTTAAAACATTTTATTAATAATATATTGTGTTTACACAGCAGCTTTCTCCTCGGGCACTCAGAGTTCTGCACATCAGCTCATAAATGCCCTGGTGGCCACTCACCAGACCTGGGTTTTTTTTGTTTTTCTGCTATTTTATGGATTGGGGGGTAGGGCCCGGGGAAGAGGTATGATTCATAAAAACAAGGAGTTGAATGGCAAGTCAAGGATTTGGAGACTTGCCCAAGGTCACCAAGGAGTCTGAAGTCAACCCCGAAATAGAAGCCAGATCTCCTGACTTCCTGGGTCACCTATCCAGCCACTTAAAGGCTCTGAGCATCCACGTGGCCTCACACCACCACTGCCCTGGGACTGCAGCAGTCTCCGGGATACAGCGAAAAATTGGGGTCAGGAGCAAATACTGCAAGTACGGCTGCTTTTGAATCAGCAAGGGCGAGCTGCTTCCTGGTTTGGGGGAGGAGGGACGGGGAGCGGGGGAGGGCACCTGCTCCATCAGCAAACGAGCGAGCGGCCTTCACCTGGAGAGGGCGGTGTGCCCGCTGCCTGACAGCAGTGAGGAGCCAGGTCACCGGGGTAAACACAGACTTCTCCTCCCTCCAGCCCACACCCCAGGGGAGGAAAACACTGAGTCACAAAGAGGCAAATGATAGCTTTTACAATGTTTCTGATTATTTTTTAATCCACCTACTGGCTTATTGAAGTGATCTTCAATCCTTACTCCATCCTTGTCTGTCCTGTCATGATTTTCCCTTTCCTAAACACAAACTACTACAACCTTATCTAAAACAGAGAAGCAAAAAGGGTTTACTGGATCGCACCGGGAATGATACCCAGTATCTTGTAATAACCTATAATGGAATATAATCTACAGAAACAAAAAACACAAAATGAATCACTGTGCTGTATACCTGAAATTAAACAGTATTGTAAATCACGTATACTTCAATTAAAAATAGTTAAATAAAGTTTAATTGAATTTTTCAAAAAAAGAAAGAAGCAAATGAACTACCACACCCTTCCACATAATCTCCCAACCAACCCAGATTAAAGCTGCGTTTAAATTCCCACAGGGCCAAGGGTTGTCAAAACGTGTTCCAGGGACCATCAGTCCTCAGCACCACCTGGGGACGTGTTAGGAAGGAAAATTCCAGAGTCCACTCTAGACCTACTGAATCAGAAACCCTGGGGGTGAGGCCCAGCAATCCGTGCTTTAGTAAGGCTTTCTGATGCTCACTGAAGTTTAAGAACCACCGCAGTGTTAGACTTGACAAAGACGCACTTCACACCTGAAAGGAGACTGGTAAAATCCGAAGAAACAGTTAAAGCCACTGGCACCTTTTTTGTCCTTCTGCGAAAGAGCACAAGCTGCTAAGAGTGAGCAGCACTGTAAATCCAGGAAGAAGCCTGCAGTCAGCATTCATCTTTGCCTCTGAAATTGTAAGAGCGAAATCTATTGGCAGACAGACCCGCTTACATCCAGAA